ATCCTGTTCTGAGAAAGTTTATGGAGAACTAAACTTGTTCTGGTAAACCTGTATAGTTCTTTCATATCACATGTTATAATTAGAGAGACAGAAATAAAACACCCTTTGCATAGCCCCCAAAACCATTTCAGGCTCATAAATTCCAGTTGTTAAATGTTTTATCCCTATGACCCTATTGCAGATAAAATGGGCAAACAGAGACATTTAAAAAAACAATGTCTGTTTCCTTATTACAATCTGTAGAGGGGCCTGAAGGTTGTACTGATAAAAGCACTGGCCAGTGGCTAATGTGTCTCCCAAACACTGCTGATGTACACCCTAGTTCTACAGTTTATCTTCTATTTCTGAAAGATGTGAACTTGCCCAATCAGAATCCAAGAGAACTCTCACAGTCAACACATCACTAACAAGAGCCTGGACTGTCCCGGAATAATTACCTAGGAGCTTGCTGGTCTGGATGTCAATAGGAAGCTTCTGATAGTCCTGTAAAAAAGATTAAAAACTTACTTTTCGAAGGTAAAACAAGCCTTAAAACACAGTCTGGACATCCGAGCGTATCCTTGCGTGTCAGTTATAGTCACACAAGGACCATAACGTCCAGTAACAGACTCTCCTGTGTTAATAAACGATAGCAGATATGTTGAAATCAAGCTCAACAACAGTGTAATGATTACAACTTAACCACATGCAGTTTCATTATTGTAAAAGGCCCGTGCGGATTTGAGTTAAGAACTATAATCCCTGACCCAGTAGGTTATTAAAAAAGTGTTGTTCTCAGCTCCTCGTTACATTTTTATCGCTTTCAGTTAAAAAAAAACATCAGCTTTAAAGACAATTTCATAACAAGTAACTGTATTGCTTAAATTCTTAATGTATAAATATGCTTCGCGTATCTATATTATTTAGTTTCTGACGAATTAACAATTACAGATCCAAAACTCTTAAAATACCTCCATTGTACTTTATGTAGCTTCTTTTTTAAATTAAAATCAACATTTGAACTGGTTATTTCTCTTCAAGCTGACTGACAGACGCCCAGAACAGCCATGTATTTACACCGACATTGACACGTCACCCCATGTGGAACTATAGACCAATCAGAGCGCTGGAGCGACCCTTCCTAACCAATGAGAGAAAATTCCGCCCTTGAACTTCCGTCGAGGAGTAGCCAATCAAATAGCCCATGGTCTTAAAACGGACATGGAAACTAACCAATGATTTTGTAGAATGACCAAAGTGTAGGATCAGTGCTGGTGATGGCTTATAGCTACAGGAGTAATTTCGATATTTATCAAATAGGTGGCAGTGCATTCCATTAAACTCCGTTGTAAATTCAGTATATTGTCCAGGTTTTGTACCACTAGAGGGAACCATCACCGTCGTGGTCAAAAGGATATGAATGAAATAGCAATATCTCGTAAAAAGAAGACACCAGCTGCTGAGACTAGGCTGTTTTTCCTTATTTTTACCTTTTGTTATCACTTTTATTTGAAATTTAATTTTAATTGTATTATTTCTGTAACGCATACGGCCGGCGTTGCAGGTTGCTTTGTTTAAATGATTTTTTATTAAACGTATAAAGAATGTACAAATACAACTTCAACCAGAGGATCAGAAACAGGTACAAGAGAAAAAAACACAAACAGAAAAAAACATTTAACCGCCAGAGGTAATGAAGTAGATTATGGGATCAAATTGTATTTTTTTTACATATATTTTTTTCCTTGCTTTATTATTTCTCATTTTTAAAATAGAATTTAAATAGTTTCAACTCCACCTCAAAAGTACAAAAAAGGGGAGTATTATTAGACCATTTTGATTTATGTGAAACTGTGAAACTTACCCAGAATGGCTAATAAATTTACTATAAATAAATGCTCTTTTTTCCGAATTTTACAATATTTGTACAATACAGCAGTACAATAAAATATCAATATTCTTAAATAAAAAAAAACACCTTTAACTGCCTGCAAACCCAGTACAGGTTGTGCGAGCCGGCTTCCCAGCGCGGCGACGTCACCGCCCTTCTCTGTGAATAGCAGGGACCACAGCTGTCGGGCTGACGGGAGATTGATTCGCCTTTGGCTCAACCGGCTGGGTCCCTGTGGAGTGACGCTAGAGGCCCGGGTTCGAGTTGGGGGGCCGACCTGAGGCGGTAGCAGGTAGGGCGCATACCCACGTGAACCTGAGAGCGCTACATTTCACTATTATTATGTTATTCAATCGTTTCATGTAAAATAAGCCCCTCGTTAAAAACGAACAGTCAGACAGCTCCTCAGTGTTCACTTGAA